TGGTGCTGTGGCTGATGCATTTCATGGCCATCATCTACACGTGAGTGCGGGGCAGCCGGAAAGGCTCGGGGCAGGGGTCGGGGCCTCGGGGCCAGGCGAGGGTGGGAGGCATTTGCGCTTTGGGCGGGGGAACTGGGGTCGGGTGGGGTGGAGAACGCTGATTCTCAGACTGTCCCCCCGCCCGTTCCCTCTCCCCTCGGACCGTCTCGGCGGAGGGTCTTTGGGAGAGAAAAGTGGCGATGAAAGGGTTGCGGGATTGCAGGCGACTGCACAGTCAGGGGGAAGGAAGCTGCTCTTACGTGTCAGGCGGAAGGTTGCTTGCTTCGTTTGATTGTGTTGGGGATTCGTTTGATTTTTCATCTGGGCCAAGATGTATGGTGTATTTTTTTTTTTTTTCTCTCGACATGGGCCACATTTCTGTTATGGTGACGATCGTTTCCACTCTTCCGGAAGGCTATCTAGAGACCTCCCTGTGGATTTTCTCCTTCCTGGAAGAACTCTATCAGCTTAGATAGGTGTGAAGCACCTGTCCACCTCGAAATGCCCACTCAACCTCCGAGGTGGCATTCATTATAGCTTTGAATCCTGTCAGTTTGTACACTTCAGGGTGGATTTCTTTGCTTTTTTCGATTGATCGTTTATTGTCTTGTTTAGATTTTGTACTCTCCCACTGCCCTCCACATCTTTGCAAGATTTATTTAACAAATACTTCTTGAGGCCTACTAGATACCATTCAGTGTTCTTGAGGTGGGAGCAGAGTGGTGAGCAGAACAGAATTCCTGTCCTCAGGGAGCTTGCATTCTAGGAGGCAGAGACAGATAATAGAAGTACCCCCAAGGCTATTAGATAGTGATGAAGCCTATGAACAAAATAGAACAAGATGATGGGATGAATAGAGACGGGCTGTGTGGCTACTTTTGATATGCCCATTGTTGAACTCCCTTTAAGATGAAATCTGCCCATGTAAAGAAATGAAAGAATGACAGAGAGCACACTACAGATCCGGATTCACTTGGTTTTGTAGCCTGAGGGAAAAAAGGAACAATCGATATAGTAATCTTTACCACCAACTACAAATAGGGTAAATGTTACTAGAGGAGGAGGAAGAAATTCGTTACTTTTAGTGTGTTTTTTGTTTTTTTTTTCTTTTTACTGCAGAAAAGGTGTTCCTTCCCTTTCAGAAACTGTATTTTATTAGTATAGTGTGGCATTTCCTGGTGCTGGAGCAAGATGCTACCTGTACAGAATATACTGATATTTCTTTACAAGTGAAAGAAAACATGCCACTTGGATAATATTGATCTTGGTTTTTGGAGCTTGTGAGCTGTCGTCCCTGAACACATTCTGGAGTTCATCTTAAATACATGAGTTTTTAAAAAACAATATTGTTGCTCTTTCTAGTCATACATTTTTTAAAAATGCTTACTACATAAGAACTCATACAATACAGAGAAGAATAAAGAAGAAACTTAAAACATACATCAAAACTACATTACCCTGTTAACCTTTGGTGTGACTGTCTTTCCAATTATATTTCTTTCTGTGTGTGAGAGAGACGGAGAGAGGGAAGGGTGAAGGGAGGGAAAGCAAAAGGGACTATATCATGATTATTGTTCTGTAACCTGCTTTTAAAATTCATCTATTTAATAAATGCTTACTGAGAAGCTGTTTATGCAAGGTGTTGTTCTGGGTTGCTGGAAATAAGAGAATAAGGCATTTAAGGCCCCTGCTTACATGGACCTGACATGTAAAATATCATGACCATTTTTCTCATGTCAGTAGATGCGTCACTTTGAAAAGATGCATACTATTTTAGTTTATGAGGTACTAAGATTTATGTGTTATGATTGATGGGCATTTAGGTTGTTTCCAGTTTATCTAGATTACAAGTGATACTGTCATTAATTTATATGCATACATCTTTGAGAGATGATCTTAGTTTACGTTTCTGAAAAAGGAATTGTTGGGTCAGAAGTAGCATTTTTAACTTTGATATTATTACCCCATAGAAATGTTATTTCCATTCTTAGTCCTGGAAACTTTGTATGATGATCCCATTTCCCCTCACTGATGCTATCAGGCATTTCCCTGTTTTTTGTTTTTATTTCTATTCCTCTACTTACTAGTTCCATTGAACACTTTTTAAACATATTATGTGCTAGTTACATTTATTTGTGAATCATAGATGCAATCCTTTGCCTGTGGTACAGTCTGTTGCTGAATTCATTTTTTTATATGAAGGTTATTTTTGTGTTACCTGTTTTTGTGTTATCTATTTTTGTGTTGCACGTTTTTCATGGTCTGTTTTTTGTCTTTCAACTTTGTACATATAATATGGAGAAAGGTATGTGTACATGTGTGTTTTAGATAGACAAGTCTTTATTTTTCTTTTTATGAGTCTAATGTAATTTTTATATCTTCCTCATTTCCATCAATTATTATATGTGCTTATATATATGCATAATATTTTCTTTTATGTATGTTTCTTTTTAGCATTTTGAGTTTTTCTTAACTTTTTAATATGTTACTCTTTAACTCACCCAGTATTTTACTTTGTTACATGATGAAAACTAGAGCCCTAATTTTAGTTTCATCTGAATATTTAGCCACTAGTCCCAAAGTCATTTATCGATTGATCATTTATTTTCCTGTTTTGAAATACTATCTTTATTATAGACTAAATTCTTTTTTGTATGTGGGTACTTCCAATGCCATTTCATAGATTTCTTAGATCTTGTACCAGTACTCACTGTTTTAATTCATGAAGTTTTATTAACTAATGAGGCAAACTCCTCCTTACTCTTTTGCATAATTGTTTGGGTTTTTTTTGTTTTTTGTTTTTCACATTTTTGCTTAAAAGTGAACTATCTTTTTTCCAGACTATTAAGTAATCTTGGGGCTTGGGTTTTTTTCCTTTCTCTCTCGCTCTCTTTCTGCCTCTCTCTGTCTCTCTCTCTCTCTCTCTCTCTCTCTCTCTCTGTGTTTGTTTTGGTTGAAAAGGTTACATTTACAGTTTAATTGAGGGAAAAGTGACTTTTTTCCATGTGGGACCGTGATGTATCGCCCTCCCTCTATTATAGATACATAATGATAACGTCACTCTACTTCAGTTAAAATTAGCACTACTGATGTGCCCTAATATTCTGAATAACCATCTGGGAATATTTACATTCTTAGATTTGAGAAACTACAGAATTGTTTTAAGTGTGTGTGTATGCACAATGATAAAGGACAAAAGTTTTCTTAAAATATCTTAAGTTTTTGAGAACAGTGCAGACATTTAGTTTAGTTGAGGTAATGTACAGCGGCTTTGTATTTATTTTCTAATGTCCCACAGCATTATCTTTTTTTATTGACAATGACAGTTCCCTGAAAAGTTATGTGAAAATAGAATAAATAAGGTGCAATTCATTTATAACAGATTAAATTGACTTTCTGATTAAAGAAATATTATGAATACTTTTTTTTGAAATAAGTAACTGAATGTAAAACAATAATTGACAGCTTAATTTCTGTATAAATTATCTTACCCTTTCTTTGATAAATACTTTTTTTCTTGTCTGGTTTCATCTTCAAAATTAGGTACATGTTTGATTTGATTCCTTTTTTATTGAAGTAAAGATACTTTCCAGTTTAATATGAGTTGTTTTCGAGCAGAGAACTAAGCATTTTTTCCTTTCCCTCTCTCTACTGTATTTAATAAAATTGCTAATTTTATGTATCAACATTTTGACAAGGTTAAAAACTTTGGTAACAATATTTTGGTTAAAATACTGTGCTAAGTATTTTGTGTTTTATTAAACAATATGTTTTCTGAACACATGTCTGTGTCCCCTTCACATTATTTTTTAAATAAGGTGAAGTATAAATAAATTAAAATAAGCAGATATTAATGCTCTCCTAAAAACTTGACTCAGGTGGAAATGGAGCCTATTTTCAAAAATGTATCTGACTCCATATCAGATTAAAGAGCACAATCTGTGTCTCCTAGTTGTTAAAAATGTTTAAGTAATACAAATATTGCTATAAATTGCTGAGAAAAAATGTAGAACATTTTAAAAAAACCAATTAGTTATTTTTAAAAAATTAAATATAGTGGGTAATCATATCTAATTAGATTCAATGTTTTATTGTATTATATCTTAAAATGAGATAAAGAGCTAAGTATTGATCAGTATTTAAAAATGGAGGTGAATGTGACTAATATAATGTACAACTCTTCTTCAATGAAATTATTTGTTCTGATATCACAAGTGTGTTAGAATCCCTATAGCCTGCAATTTAAAAATCTGGTACCTTATGAACTAGAAAACCATTATTTCCAATGTGTTGAAACCATCTCTACTCCCTGGTATCTCTACCTACAACTTTACTCCTTTCCATTTTTAATATTGAACAGATACTTAGTCATTTCATAATGTATTTTACATGGCAACTGTTTGTAGGAGTTCTGCCTATAATGTTAAAGGTAACATTCAGATTAGAGTTATTTGAAATTCAAGAGCCTTATTCTTGAGTTTTCAAATTTCCTAAAAATAACTAATGATTATAGCCTTGGCGGAATTGGTTAAACGATCTTTATGGTGGTTTTGTTTTTACCCCTTTATGAACACAAGTGTGTTCTGATACCTTGGGGACTGGGATTGTATAAAAGTCTAGCATTGGTTTTTTTTTTTTTTGCTTTTTTAGCTCTTAGGAGCCGTGTCGCTGAATGAGAAGGGTATCTAAGTAAGACACTCTTATTCTCTGTTCCCCATCCCACCTCATTAGATTATCATTTTTCCCTGTATACATGATGTTCTAATTTTGTCATTAGGCTTTATCTTTTCTATTAATTGACCGGAGGTGCCAGACTGATATTTTGTCCTTAAATATTAAGTACCCTCTAGTAAGGCAGAGATCTATTTTCTAGAGATTTTTTTTTCAAGTTAATTCTGCATTCTACTAATATGGTATTTCTAATGCTTCTAGTATAGCACTTTTATACCTGATGATAGCTTTTGAATGCAATTTACATACTCATTGTATCAGGTAACTGTG